ATTATGTATCATTTGAAAAGAAAACCAGAAAAGCAAATATCAAGCAAAAAAAGAACTAAAAAGATCACGACAAGATGAGCCGACACTGGAGATGAATATAATATATATCAGTAATTTATCACGCCTTTCCTATGTGAACATGACTAGGTACTAAGACCAGACATAGCGAAGTGAAAGGTTGAGGTCGTTCTTCTGTTTTGCATTTTTGTTCTTGAGTCTTGGAAGAGCTAGGAAGCGTTACACTAATATTTGTAAGATGTGCAAAGTCCTCCCATTTGAATGATGGGTCCAAGTTGATTTGATTTCTTTCTCTTTTCCTTTTTCCTTCCCCTTTCTATCCTGCGAGCCAATCAACATCCGGCTATGTGCATCTCGAAGATTTCTAACCAAAGTGAACAAAGTATTGATCTTCTCTTCTTCATCATCATCATCGTTAACTAGTGCTCCACACTCCTTTGTCTTTCCATACATGTATTTTCTCTTCATCCAAGGCTCTCGTTTTACTCTCTGTGTTGCTTTACTGTGTCTTTAAGAACATAGGGTTTTTTACCTGTAACAATGACGTAATTACTATTTGGGTGTCCAAGAAGATAGACGAATCAAATCAAAGAAAACTTGGTAAGTAGGTAGAAGGACAAAAGGAAAGGAGATTTGGAGGATCAAAAGATTATCACCTTAAAATGACCAAGCCACCCCTTAAACTCCCTCTACAACTGCACTGAAACCTCTATAAATCAATACTTTTCCGATCATAAAAATTTATTAATTAATTGATATATTATTTATCAAGATATTTTGTAATTTTTTACAAAAAAATTAAATTTAATATTATTATTTTATATAATTTTTTCTTACAATAGAAGAACACTGTACCAAAACTTATTAATACATTAAAAAAAAATTAAAAATAAAATCCAAAGAAACATCAATTTTAAAATAAAAAATAAGTAATATTAAAGTTATGTTTTATAAAAAAATTTAATTAAATCATATATATATAATTTTGATGTATAAAAAATTATTAATTTATATATAAAGTGAAATATATATTTTATAAAATATTTTATTTTGTATATTGATCTCTTATAATAAACCACCGGAACTGTTCTAATCGACCAAGTTTAATAGTCCAAGTGGTACAAGTTTCATTAACAGTGGGTGGTATAAATTGGCTTTTGTGTCTGCAATGTATGGAATGTTTTAGTTGGTGACCTAGCTACTAGAAAATAATTATACAAACGGGAAAAACATGGGCCTCCATTGCTTTAGCTTAAAGCACACGTTGACAAAGATGAATACTAATACTAATACAAATCTCAGTCGAATAGCCTTTTTGACCCACCCTATTTGTTCCTCTTAACACTCTTTACCCACTACTAGAGACATCCTATTTACAAGAGATGCAAAGCGCTACCAAAAAAAACAAAAAAACACAAAAGTCACGGTCTTGACATAAGCTTTGATTCGTCTTGTCTCCTCCCTTCGTCCTTTTTCGAATTAACACTCTTTAATTTCGCCGATTCACTTCCTGGCACATGCCTATCGATACAATGAGCCCAGTTTTAACACCAATACCCCAATAAGGTCCCATCAAAGGCCCAATATAGTCTATGGCCCGAAAACAGGACATCGTGGCTAAATTTCTTCAGACCCAAATAGATGTCCAATGTGTACAACTCCTTGGTCCAATCAGCTAGAGTTCTTCTCTTTTTTTTTCTTCCTTTCTCCTTTCATTTTCGGCTAATTGCAAAAAAACCACTTTAGTTTAATTGTAACCTATTTCAAAATTTACACCTTTCCCATGAAACTAGAAAGTTCATCATTTTTAGTGGAGTTGGTAATTAGTGTTAGCGGGTCATAATTGTGCCATGGAAAGCTAAATAAATAACACATTAGTAGGGTGGTACAAATACAACACCATGATTTTATTATTTTACAGTTATTGATACAAATATGACACGTTTATTTTATGAGTTATATGATATGATACGGTTAATATAGTTCATTATGATTAATCTATTTATACAAAAAAGGTTAATCCGTTAGACACAATTAATTTATTTAAATATAAATAATAAATTATTTTATATTTTTTTAAATTTTTTTGCAAAGCATATTTTTTTAAAATATTCATAATTCAATAAATGGATTTCAATCATTTGGATATGTTGAGTAATGTGGTAACCTATTAATAGGATTAATTTATAAATTAAACATGCTATACACAAATTAGACATTTCAGCCCACACGAGGAACGAATATTTTCGCATCATAAATGAGTTGCAAAACATGATGATACCAACATGATTACATAAAACTTAAATCCATTGAACTTCATTTAATATTTGTTTTGTATACAAAATTGTCAAATTTAATTTTTTATATCGACCCCCTCGTATACACATTTTAAAGAATCTTTAGGAGTTACCAAGGGAGGAGTATATGTGTTTTTGAAAATTTTAAAAAGAGATCATACTTGTTAAAGGGGATTTTTGTAATTAACCCTTTCTAATGTTTTGTTTTTCTTTCTCATATCTGTCCTTTCTTCTTCAAACCCTATGTCTCGGATGGCCCAAAGTGGAAATGACACCAATGGTAAGAAACTATAGATATGCACGTATGTTGGTGGTTGGTGGAGTTATCTGAATTTTTTAAAATATCTTCGCATATATCAAGAGATTAAAATCAATTACGTGATTGAAATGAATCCATTACTTTAAGAAATGAAGGGAATATTTCTAATATGCTTATTGGGAAAAAAAATCTTGTCTATGCCGCGGAAACCTTATCACTGGATACAAATTAAGATTCCTAGGAGTGGGTAGGATTATCGACATCCTTTTGGAATCTTGCCCTTATAACAATGGTCGATAGCACAGAGGCATTAAAATGTTTCGCAAATGCGTGTCTATTGGCATCCTATACTGACCTTTTCTCTTTTATTAATCAGCATCGAAGCCTTTTTCTTATGCCATCATCTTTTGCATTAAGCGACGCTCTGAAGGAGGAATACAGAAAAAGGGAAAGCAAGATGTTCCACGACTGGCCCTCGTTTTACGTATGTACAACACAAAAGTGTAATTCTACCTGCGTTTTCTGCTCTCAACTCTTTATTCCAAGTTTCGAATCCTCATCTTTATTAGTTTTCAACCACTTAAACCCTACGACCTAAAATCTAGATTCAAAAAGTTTGTGTTAATGTTTAAATAAAGAACTTTGTCTCGCTTGTGATCCTATATATATATATATATATATATATATATATATTACACTTTAAATATAAAAGATTATCATTATAATATCATGAGCAAATTGAAAGAAATGATCAACTTCATAAGACTATTTCAAAAATAACTTTCAAAATAAAGTTTATTGTTTTTATCTAATTTTTACCAAAACTTAATAAAAATACCCTTAAAGCCATTTCAAACAAATTAAATCATTTATCACAACTTTTTCCCTTATTTCTACATCCGTCTGCTACACTCCTAATTTCTCTCTCGCCATCCAACTCTCTCTAATTTTACCGATTTCTTTCTCCTGAATGTACTATGCTTTCTATTTTTTTCCCTTAATTTTACCACCATCACTATTTTTCTTTGTCTATTTCTTGACATATCGTCATCAATCTACAAATTAAAGAAAAGAGATGACATCAATATATGTTCTTAAATTTATTTATTTATATTCATAGAATTTCAAAGTTGATGAGTTGAAGTTATAAATAAAATCTGTAAATTAAGATACTACTCAGAATTGTTATAAGTCATGCCTACATGCAATAACTCTAATACACTTTATGTATAACAAATCTATTGAATATAACATGACTTAAATATGACATGTAACTTAATCTCTATCTTTGTATTTTATTAAAATATAAACTCTTATAGTTAAATACTTAAACATGACATGTAATTTTATCTCTATCTTTTGATTTCATTACAATATAAACTTTTGAAGTTAAATACTTTCAGTAAGGGGTGCAATAATTTTTCTTTTTTTTCAACATAACATGTAATAATTTATTTTTCAACATGATGTATAATAACTTTTTTTTCAATACAAAGTTTAACTTGGTCCCTGTATTTGTATTTTGTTAAAACATAAATTTTTAGAGTTAAATATTTTAAAGGTACAAAAAACTTTTTTTTCAATATAATGTGTAATAAATTTTTTTCAACATAACTTGTAACTTGATTTATATATTTGTATTTCATTACGAGTTAAACACTTAAATATAACATGTAATAATTTTTTTTTCAACATATCATATAAGTTGATCTCTATTTTTATACTTCATTAGAATATAAACTTTTAAACTTAAACATCTTAAACACGACATACAACAAATTTTTTTTGACATGATAACAACGTTTTTTTAAATTTAAATATGAAAAAATTGTATTAAAAATAATTTTATTTAAAATTTTAAACATTATTTTTTAAAATACCTTATTTTAAGGGTTAAAAAATATCATCCCTAACATCATTATCATTTGAACTAGATTCAAGTAATCATGGTATCTGTCCTTAAATTTCATTGATCAATCAATGGAGAGAGATAAGATGTGTTCCCCATCAAAGAGAGGCTTGATTGTTTTTGAGAATTGTGAGTACAAGCGTCTTAAGTCCATTAATGGTTTTGGATCGGTTGTTTACAATTCCAAACCTGGAAAAGACTTGCCTGTCACTGCACTGCCAAAGACTGACATACATCAGTATCAGAATGCCTGTTGGGGGCCATCGTGGGCATGCACAGGCTGGAAAATAAAAGAAACAACAATTAATAAGAAAACTTGTAAAAGGAATTAATTGGCAATTACTGACGGTGAATTATTATCTAATGGATGAAAAATATCTGGGGGCAGGGGGATCCCACGCTTACTGAGGCCACAAAAAATGATTCTCTGTTGTCCGAATTCTGAAGCAACAAACCAAAACCAAATCCCTTATCTTACCAGCTACGTACTTGAATCAAAATTTGAAACCTTTCCACGTCAAACAAGTGGACGCTTTGACGCAACCCACTTCTTTCATTTTCTTTCCCACTTTGTTAATTAATGAGATCGAATACCAGATTTATTTTCAGAACAGAAGCCTCTTTTCGATGAGCAAACTGCGGTCATCGGCAACTTCGAACTCAATATATATATATAACCAGTAGTAATATTGAACATTGATCATAAAGAACATAATAAATACATGATTGAAACCTGATCCAAAAGTAACTTTAAGAGTAATCAACATTCTTTTGAGCAGGCAAAACTCAAGCTAACTAAAGGGTGAGCTTGAGATCTAAACCATCATCTTCTTGTTTTTTCTTGTCTTCTTTCTTGTTGTATGGGCTTGGAAAGATGATAGGTGACCTTCTGAACTCAATCTCCTCAGTAAAATCTGCCAATTCAAAAGTTGGAACCCAACTCGATTGCTCGTCCGTATCTAACTTCCTTATCTTGTTTTGCTTCTTCTTCTTGGTGATCTCCTCCCTTTGTCTGAGCTCATCTTTTCTCCTATTACTCGCCTCCCGAAAATTCCTAATCAGGGCAAAGAACCGCTCCATCTTCTGATCATCCTCTTGCTCCTCGTCTTCGCCATTCCAAACATGACTTCTCTTCTCGGTTGCCATGTGAAAAGAAAAGAAGAGAGAGGGAAAAAATGCAGAGCAAGCTCCAAACTTTCTTTTTGGTTTTTGTCAAATCCCTGGTGGCAGTAGGCCTGAAACAGCGTACACAAGTTTCTCTCTGTTCTTTCTGCCCACATCTAGTTTCAAAATTGTCCACCTATTTATAATATAACAAGGAATTTGGCCATCCAGGGTCACTTTAAAAAGACAGACTTGCCCTGCCTACCAAAATGACGAGGTGTAGGTTGACTCTCTGCGTCTTCTAGAGAACCCAGCCTTCCCCCGTTGGGGTAGAAAAGTAAAATTGTGAGATAACGCGTGGATTGTGATACGTCACATGTTAACGTGGGTACCATGTTGATGGCATGACAACGCAAAGGCTTGTCAGAATGTCGACGTAACTCAGATGACGCAATACACAGCGCAAAAAAGTCTGGCTGTTAAGCATAAGCTGATTCCTCATTTGAGATGATTTTGACTACCAAACCCACGTTGCCAAGGCTCCACAATTTATTTCACGCTCTTACCGTTTTTCTGCTTCGGCAAACAACCCATAGAATAAATAATAATATATACCGAAATTTTAATAGGACAGGTACGGCTACCCATCTTTATCCGTGAAGGTGAATGTTGAACAAATCCACCCGTAGAAAAACAAAAACCAATCACCAAATTGTGAAATTTATTATATTTCATTTAATGTATTATTTCATTAATTATTATCCTTTTTTCATAAATAACAGCTTAAAAAATATCAGTGAATGAAAATATAGATCAATTTAGATAAAAAAATCTATAACATGATAGTTTCCAATTATTAATTTCATCCCTAAATCTATAGTTGCGTTAATTATTTATTGATATTCTAGAATATGTCTTATTTAAGTTAATTATATAATTGATAAGTAGTATGATTTTAATTTTGTTAATGAATTTCTAATTCAGTATTTAATTTATTGATTAATATATAATTTTTTATTTAAAAAATATTTAAATTTATCTTTTCTCAATTATCGAAAGAAGACCTTGTTAATGATTTTCACGTGACTCGTTCATTTTTGAAACAGAATGGTAGATCTATGACAGCGACTTCACACCTAGAAAGCTGATCAGAGACATGCGGTTAATCTAGAAAGGTTAGGCACTGTTAACATCCAAGTGTAGAGTTGGGGCCTTGAATCTCTAGCACTCCTACCTCTAGACAGTGAATTCTCTATTCATTTAGGCTTTAATTTTGGTCAAGAACAAGGTCAAATATAGTTCATGTTCATATAATAAACTATAGACTTCATATAATACATCTAGTTCATGTGAAATAAATAAGGGTAAAATATTTATATATTTTTAAATTTTATTCAAAATAATATAAAAATCTATTAATTTTTTTAAAATAGATATTTCAACTTCAACATATGAATGAAAATTAATGTTAAATATGAAATATTAAAAATATTTATTTTTTTTGCATTATTTTCTTTCTCTCAAGTCAATCCACAACATCCCTTTACATTGATCAACCATCCATTTCCACTTTGCTCCCTTGGAAGCCTTGATCGAGCTCTCCAAGAGAGACCCAAATCGATTTTCACAAGGGAGCACGATGTCAATTGCAAAAATCAAAATTTTTGTTGAAAAAATAAAAATTATAATTTATTAAATAATAATTTTTAAAATTAATAAAAATAAAATTATCTTAAAAATATTATCACAACATCAAATTAATAAAAATATTAAAAATTAAATAAAAGTAAGATATAATTAAAATATTTTTTTGAAACGAGGTGTTTATTTTAAAAATTAATTAATTTTATATAATTTTAATTAAAATTTTAAAAAATCTGAATATTTTACCCAATAAATAAAAAATTTTAAACACATAACTTATGAATAAATTAAACATAAAATATCGAATAGTACAAGTAATAATTTGTTTCAATTAGTATAAGATTTATTTGTAAATCAAAAACTTTACTTATAGCCCTGCACCACAACTTCTGCGAGGAGAGATGGGAAAAATCAGTTGTTCGTAAATCGCAATGAGTCAGACTTTTGCAGTTGAAAAGTATAAATTTTTCCGACATTTGGTGTCGCCATAAATCTTACATACTTACTAGCTACTACCAGAGTTTGAAAATTGAATGCTGTGCAACTTTTCGGGTCTTGAAAAACGAACAATTTCTGCTGGGCTTTATATATATATATTTTTTAATTAGAGTTTTTATTAATTGAAACTTCTAGTTATTATCTAAACGAAAACCCTCTTTTTATTTATTTATTTATTTTTATATTATGTATTTCTTTTCCATTTTTCAGATGACCAAAGGTTAACACATATACTATGATTTTTTAAAATTCAATTAATTAGTCTATGGTACTTAATCTTTTAATTCATTGTTAACTTTTTTATTTATAACTAAATCGACTTGCAATCCAAATTTATATGTGTCCATGGGCTGGTAAATGAACATTATATATTAGTCATGCTATTTTTAATATAAAATATAATGAATTTTATTTTTATTTTTATATTTTACTTTAAAAATAAATTTTTAAGAGATAAAAAGAAAAATGCATAATACTTTAAAAAGCTCTTGAGCTATCAAAAGAATTCAAATAACTTATTATATTTCTATTACATTCAATTAAGTTTTTTTATTTTTATTTTGAATTAAATAAGCTCATACAACTAAACCTAACAATTTTGCACAAAACATGGCAACACAACATAGGTTTAAACGGCTTTGGATTTAATTTAATTGTGTTTCGTGTATTAATCATGTCAAACCGGTTTAATCCGTCCAAAACATAATTAATTAATTATGTTATCGTGTATTTATATAATCTATGTTAGTGCAATAAGCTCAATGCATACAATTCTAAGAGAGGCTGAATTGAAATATTTTAAATGTTTTGAGATTTTTCTTTTTAATTTCAAACAAAATAAAGTTCCCCTTTTTGTGAATAACAAGATAATTACATTTTTTATTAAATAAGAGAAGTTAGAAACATAAATGAGATTGAAGGAGTGAGAGAGTAAAATCAACATAATAGTATGTATAGAGATTCGACCTCCTTATCTACGTCCTTTCCATTACATTTATTAAGAAATTTAAAATCTATTATTAGAAAAAGATTTAATACAATGTCTTTTATGGATCAAGTATAACATTTTCAATACAATACCTTTATATAGTTAAAGCATAACCACTCTATTTGTTATCATGGTTAAGATATAATCACTTAAAAACTACTTTTTCAATTGGTTAAGGTATAATCACACAAGTGAATATGATGAGAGAAATATAATTATAGCTAAAATGCCTCATAAGCGCTAAGTAGCAGCTTAAGTACAATATTTGATGAATAAATGAATAAGTAATAAAGGCTCAATAAATTATATAATAGAAGACTCAAATGCTAGAAAATGAGTGCAAAGAATATTGAATGACTTGAGTTAAAATTTTCTCTTGAACAACTTTCACAAATATAATAAAAGCTTGTATTTATATTTACTAAAGCTTTTGAGGTGGTTGGAGGAGCATTTAATGCAAAAAAAAAATATTTTTCTCTTCATTCTAGGCTGTAACGATCGTATTATATTGACACATATGTTAATGTATCAACATATTACTGCTTTTATTTTGAATTATCGTTGAAATGTATCAATACATACTATCAATACATTTTAGTATGTTTTGATATTTTTGATCTTGGTTGCGAAGGTTTGAACATTTTGTTGGAAATGCATCAATACAATTATTAATTTATCGATACTTTTGAAACAATGAGTATTTGGTTAAAATTATATCAATATTTTTAAGGTGAACATTCTATAGCATTTCTAAGGATATATTTTAAGAATATATCAATAGATTGAGTTTGATTTTGCAAAAGTCGATTTTTATTAAGAATATGTATCGATAGATTTGGATCAGAATACATTTTTTGAAGTTCTTTTTCATTGTTTTTCTTTTCAAACTCGATTGAAAGTGTTAAAGGATATCTAGACTTGATAATTCAAGGATTAAATGAAATTTGATCATTTTCTTTTGTCATTTCAAAACATGGAATCAATTTGACAGCTATAGAACTAACAACCTATGACTCGTTAATTACTCATTTATTTAATCGTGTTTACGTGTCGCGTAAATACGTTTAGTACACGATTAAGATCTATTTACTAATCTATATATATACTAATATTTTTACTATGATTATGATTTATTGATATTAAATTTTATTATATTTAGTATATATTATGATATTTATAATTTTTTATTATAAATTTGAATAATAGAATCGTATTTTACTTGTACATATTTCAATTTAATCATTTAATCATATTAATCATATCAATCATGTAAACAGCTCATAAATTGTATAAATTTTAATCGTGATATCATGTCGTGTCGTATAAAATTTAACTCAACATGTTTAATAAACGTGTTTGTAGTGTCGTATTGTGTTACATATTTATTAAATATATCTGTTTACATGTTTAAAATCTTAATACGATTAATTAATTATATTGTGTTTGTGTTTACTTATATAACTGTTAATACTTTATGTTTACATGATACAGTTAAGACACAAATGCACAAATTGCAAGGTCTAGATATGACTAAGGATTAGTTTATTATTATTAATTAAAATATTATTTATTATTTGTATATTCACATAACACTAATATGGATAGTAAATATAGTACGTGATCATATCATAATGCCACATAACTAAACCATGTTACCTCCACTTTGACATTTTAGCATGTCATTGCATAAATTTTAAATATTTTATGCATAAATTTTTAAGGATTTTTGCAATATTGATGTTCAATTATTTTTTATGTAAAAAACTAACAAAAAAAAAACCTAAAGAAAGCTATTGATATAGAAAAGGAATGTCTTAGATTTTATAAAATGAACAGATAACCTGATTTTAGAACAATTCGAAAAAATGTACAAAAAAACAGAAATAGTATATGACTATATGTTTTAATTTAATGGGCAAAGCTGGCATTTTAAGAGTTTATTATTGATATAATTTCACTGGGAATTGAGGGTTAAAAAAATGAGAATGTTACCGAGCTAAAAAAGAAACAATGAAAATGTTTCCTATCCTGACTTTATTTTATAGCGTAATCACTGAATCAAGATCTTTGGTTTAGTTTTAATACTAAAGTAAGTTGCAATGTGAATGATCAATCAATACAGGGTACTTTTGTCCTAATATATTCGATCTCTACCGTCTATATGTTTGATAGAAGTACTACAAATGTACTACCAATGATCCGGCACTGACAACTTTAACCGAGCTGCATGTGCTTTATTTGCAGTGTTATCCTGGTGCTGATTCTACTGGCTGGGGGAGGACGAACAGAGTCCGAGAACCAATGTATTGGCCTGACCTTGACTTGAGGGAGTATCATTGATGGCATGACATTGAACCCATTTGCTCTAAAGCACACGCAAAATGCTATCAATGGGTACTGTCGTCTCTTATCTGTCCTCTTTCGATCAATGGGAAGTATTGTTAATTAATTCTAGGCATAAGTCTTTGGCCTTTTACTGGTCAAAAGAACTACACAGTCTCGTCTCCTTTCAGAACCTTTTAAGAACACTCAGTTCCAATGTTCAGCCTGCTGCTTTTCCTCAGACGCTATATCAGTCCTTATCTTAATCTCAACTTGATTTATACAAATCCACCATGGAGTGCCCCAAACCAAAAAGCAAAATCAAATTAAGAACTATAGCTGGCAAGGCTCCGGCTGCATAACGTTCAGGTCATATGCCACATTGTTTTATGGAAACCTTTGAGCTAACGGGATTACGTGGCTGGTGGAATATGCTGTCTTCGAGAAGGCGTAAGCGGCTTGTGTAGGTTTATTTGTAGCTCCCTTGTTTTCATGTTGAAGTCAGCCTGTTTTCGGCTGATGACATCAAGATAAGCTAGCATGTCATCGTCAGTTTTAAACCCTTGAGCTTTTGTCGTGGTTTCTTTCTTCAGTGTAAAAAGGTTTTTTAATTCGTTGTATGGTTTGATCCATTGTACGTACGGGCAGGTAATCCCCTGCATACGTTGCCAACCTTTTATCCATTGGATTCTCAGGTCACTTTTTCAGCCAAAACGCACTTGAAAACGTTTTCTTGTTTATTGGAGAGAAGCTACAAGTTATCCAGATTTAGCCATATATGAGAAGAAGAAACATGGTTTTTTTCTGTTCTTTTCTTCTCTTCCTTTGAGCAAGCAATGAAACTTTGCGTTCAACATCAAAATACCATGGTCAATGTAGTCAACCCTCGATTAATGACCATTAAGTATTTTATTCTTTGACGTTTCAGTCTTATAATGCCACTGAAGAAATTGGACATAAGAGTTTATTCTCCTTTTTTAACTATAATTTAATGCATATATATATATATATATATAAATAGACCAGTGGTAGAGTAATTCAAAAAGACTTTAGAAGTGACTCTTATATATATATATATATATATATATATAGAGAGAGAGAGAGAGAGAGAGAGAGAGAGAGAGAGTTTTTATATTGATTAAATAATACATAAATACTAGTACTAACTTATTATGAAGTTTTAGCTTAGGTAGTAAGTATTATAGATGAGATATAAGAAATAATGTAATACTGATTTAAGAGAAAATATATAAAGATCAGAAATATAACTTGGTACTACAAGATCCTAGCGGTAAGGTTAACTTTTTCTAACCTTTTTCCACCTTTTATCAGTAACTTGCACGCCAATTTATCTTTTTGACTCTTGTGAAATACTTGAGATTCACGCAGATCTCTAGCCGACGACTTGAAGTCGGAAGGCCAAAACAGACCCAGTGAACTATAATATAAAAAAATTAGATACAACGGAACCTGAGAAAATTCTTTAAAAAACTCATTCTCGGTTTAGAATTTGATCACTTGCGCAGCCCTTAGCGACTACCAAATTGGATACCTACGTACTGCTTGCTGTATATATAATCCTAGCTAGCTCCTAACAGCGACTACTTCATTCATGATTATCCGAAAACTTAATTTCTTAATATCGCCGAAAGAGATGCTGATATTCACTAAATATAAACAACCCAAAAAAAAGGAAGTACATGGAAAATGCGTAGTAGAAAGAAATGCTTGAATGCCTTCTTAAAGTTGTTAACTACTACTTTATTTGATATGAACAGTCTGATCCAGTAACCCCATCTTCCAGCTACAATCGACAGTTCAACACCCTAGCAACATTCTTCAAGTTGTTCCAAAAACTTTGAATGACCTCTAAAGTGAAAGGCTAAGGTCTAACCCTTCTTTAACCTCCTCTTTCTGATCATCCGTTCCCTCTTTGGTTCGAGAAGTACTCGCGACCCTCACAGGGGGTTTCCTCAGCTGAGCCTCTTCCATGAAATCTTCATGTCGAAACGACGGCTCCCAGACTACGACTTGCTTCTCCTCTTCAAGCTTTCGCTTCTTGCTTCTGCTCTCAGCAGCCTCTGAGCTGTTGATCATCAAACGATCACGAGCCTCGCGTATGCTCTTGACGAGAGCATAGAACTTCTCCATCGTTTCTTTGTCATCATCTTCGTCGTCGTCCTCATTACGGAAAATCTTTCTCTTCTTGCTTGCACTCTCCATGCGCGATTGTTTTTTCTTTTTTTTTTTGTGTAGGGCAGAGAGAGAGTAGGAGTGGAGTAGGGACAAAGCGTTCTCTTTCTCGGTTGCTTCTTCGTTGCTTCTTCTAGGGAGATCCTAAATTATACAAAGGTCATGGTCAAGCTGTCCGATCATTTTCATTTTGTTGCGCCCCTCCGCGTGTTCCTAAACACCCATTGCCCATTGGACTAAATTATCCTCTACTTCGTTGCTTCTCACTACGTACCAAACGTACCCGTTTTGTATAATTTGCCTGTATTTCCCTCAACTTTTGATCTTTAAAATACTTATTTGAATTTTTTTTTGAAAAGCAAAGGCATCAGCTTTCCACTTCGTAATAACAATGAAAAACAAGACCAACCAAGATCTGGAAGGTACAAAAGCACGATCGACTTTGTGACCTAGTAAAAGCATAAAAAAAAAAAACAGATAAATTCCTTCTTGAGGGCACCGTACCAAAGGTTGCATAGGAGATCAGGGTATACACAATTTCATCCAAATGCCTGATCTTTCATTGCCTGTACAAAACCATATACATCTCAAAGAAGTGACAGAAACAAAAAATTATCCATAGCATAATGTTCTTCGTTGGGAAGAGGCAACGCTGCAAGCCAAGGTTATATACTTATTTGAATTATGTGTCAAAATCCTGAGATTTTGCTTAATAATATTCCAATAATGTATCATAAAATATTGTGAATTTATCCCATATCCCAACAATTTAATTGGAAACCATCCCCAACGGAAAAGGGGAATAAAAAAAAAAAACAGAGAAAAGATAAGAGATTGGGTTTGTTGAGGGGTTTATCAGTAAATTGAGGGGGAAAGTGTGTAAGGATGACATAGTTCTAATCGTCATGGTACGTGAAAACGTGACGCACGCATCATGGCCCACTTTGATGGCCGGAAGTCGAGGCTCTTGGGAGTTTGGTGTAATAGAATCTAGCGAAGAAAGAAAAGATGAAACAACTTTGCGCCGTCTGTCTCTAGTCTCTGCTGTAAGCATGCCTCGGCGCTAGCTGAGGAACCTTTCTTTCTCTACCGTTGATCAGTTTGATGGAGATCACCGCCCACTTTTCTTTTTAGCTCTTTAGACTTTCTTCAATTTCACGCTCTATTACTATTATAGATGTTGGGAACGAGATAGATCATCATACAGTTTGATAACATTTGGTACATTACGATGTAACGTGATTACAGGTAATATGATTGTAAGTAATGTGAATGCAAGCAATGTGATTACAGGAAAAATAACATTATAGTGTTTGGTATATAAGTAAAATAATGATTAAAATGCAAAGAAGATAACATTGCAGTGTTTGCTTTACAAGTACTTTAGTGGGAATGTAATGTTAATTATCAAAATTACCCTTAATTATTAAAATATAAGTTTAATATATTTATATT